GAATATTGCTGAACAGCAAATGTTGCTGCCTGATCGTTCCTCTGGAAGCTTCGTCTCAGAGGGGTACCCGGCCATGTGAGGTGTCAGTCTTTCCCTACTGGGGGGTGCCTCCTGGTTAGGCTACTCAGGGATCAGGGACCCACTTGAGGAGGCAGTCTGTCCATTCTCAGATCTCAAACTCTGCTGGGAGAACCACTACTCTCTTCAAAGCTGTCAGACAGGGACATTTAAATCTGCAGAAGTTTCTGCTGCCTTTTGTTTGGCTATGCCCTGTCCCCAGAGGTGGAGTCTACAGAGGCAGGCAGGCCTCCTTGAGCTTTGGTGGGCTTCACCCAGTTCAAGCTTCCCAGCCACTTTGTTTACCTACTCAAGCCTCAGCAATGGCGGGCACCTGCCCCCCAGCCTCACTGCCACCTTGCAGTTAGATCTCAGACTTCTGTGCTAGCAGTGAGGGAGGCCCTGTGGTCATTGGATCCTCCAAGCCAGGGGCAAGATATTATCTCCTGGTGTGCCGTTTGCTAAGACCCTTGGAAAAGCGCAGTATTACGGTCAGAGTGACCCAATTTTCCAGGTGCTGTGTGTGTGTCATGGTTTCCCTAGGCTAGGAAACAGAATTCCCTTTCCCTTTGCGCTTCCCAGGTGAGGTGATGCCTTGCCCTGCTTTGGCTCTCGCTCGGTTGGCTGCACCCACTGTCCTGCACCCACTTTCTGACACACCCAGTGAGATGAACCCAGTACCTCAGTTGGAAATGCAGAAATCACCTGTCTTCTGTGTTGCTCACACTGGGAGCTGTAGCCTGGAGCTGTGCCTATTTGGCCATCTTGGATTCAGTTTAGGCATTTTTACTAAAAGAAAAAACTCAACTGGAACTCAGTTAAGCAAAAAAAAAAAAAAAAAAAAAAAAATCTAAAAGGGCACGAATGGTGCTGCAATCTACGGACTTGAGTCTCCGGGACTCTTTCTTTGCCCCATCTGCAATTTTTTCAGCTTCTTGGCTTCATTCAATCCTACTCCAGGGGCAGGATTTCTCTATAGGACAGAGATGCTGCCAGCTCTCACTTACAATCTTACCATAGGTATATATGACCCTTTTTAATTAATGATTTCATTTTAAAATGTAACCATATGCTCTCTTATTATCTTACCTGTCTTCATTGAATTGCACTTCTTTATTTTAAAGGCTGATTGTTCTGTCAACAGATTGAAGACAATCCTTGCTAAAGAAGTTGGGAAGAAAGAGTAAACTGATCATCATAAAGTTCTGCTGTCTAGTGCATGAGTTCTGCCTTCATCAACATCACAGCATCTTTTCCAGAATGCTAGCCTATCCTTCACATGTTCTTGCTCAGAACATGGCTGGTATCTCATAGTGCCACAGTCATCATTCATAATTACAAAGAAAGGTTAAATTTAACCTAGTGCTGCCAGATGTTATGCACATTATATTTCCAAATATAATTTTAAAAAACATTTCATTCAGGCTATTTTCTATCATATACACCTACTTTATTAGAAATGATGGTCCATATAATACTCAGAACAAACTTCTTCAGTTATGAAAAAAAATTGGATAAATTCATGCATTTTTCCAAAAACAGAATTAGCTTATTTTTGCTTTCCAAAATGTGGAGGGCTCAATCTCTGGTATAAATTTTTTACTAATTTTTCCAAAGATACAGAACCATTTTTCTCTTCTGTCTAAAGGGCAGAACAGTTTCTAAGTCCCTTACTTTATCTAATTTCAGTTCTGAGGGCAACAATCCTGGGACACAGGGGTGGTTCTTTTTAACTCTTTTGGCATACATTCCCTTGCATTGCAATTGAAACAAGTCCATTCTTGTGATGAGAATTTACAGTCTAGTAATCCTAAACACCAAATGAAGTACAGAATTCCCCTTTTCCAGGTGCTGAAGAGGAAGTTAATGGATTCCCAGTCACAGTAAAGAGTCTTGGAGAATTCCCTGTGGTTCTGGGCCTGGCTGGATTCTGTTACTCTTTCTTTGATGCTAAAACTGCACATTGACTATCATTGGTTTCTTTTACAGATTTTGAGGACTTAAAAAAATGAGATGACAAACGTGAAATATATCTTCTTACCTCTATCAACAATTTCAACCCCTTCTCCTTTCATCTTGCAAACCAATTTTTCTTGTAGCCTTTTTACTTCAGATTCCTTTTCTTCTAGTTGTTCTTTTAAAGATGCCAGTTCATCCTACAAGTTACAAATTCATTTAAAAATAGCAGATCATGACTAAAAAAGAACATTCAGAGAGCATATTAGCTCTTTAAATCAATAATCAGGTTTTATGAATGAAACAAATCTACAAGAATTTAGAAGCAGCTGGGCATGGTGGCTCACGCTTGTAATTCTAGCATTTTGGGAGGCTGAGGCGGGTGGATCAATTGAGGTCAGGAGTTTGAGACCAGCCTGGCCAACATGATGAAACCCCATCTCTACTAAAAATACAAAAAAACTATCCAGGTGTGGTAGTGCACGTCTGTAATCCCAGCTACTCCTGAGGCTGAGGCAGGAGAATCGATTGAACTGGGAAGCAGAGGTTGCAGTAAGCCAAGATCGTGCCACTGCACTCCAACCTGGGAAACAGAGCAAGACTCTGTCTCAAAACAAAAACAAAAACAAAACAAAACCCACAAAATTTACATGCAAGCATCAGAAATCAGGCAAGGGCAATAAAAAGCAGGAAGCAAGACTATCAGAAGACCAGGCATGGTGGCTCACGCCTGTAATCCCAGCACTTTGGGAGGCCAAGGCTGGCAGATCAGGAGGTGAAGAGATAGAGACCATCCTGGCCAACCAGGAATCTTCTTGATTTTCTATGTAATTATATCATCTTGAGGTCAAGAGTTCAAGACCAGCCTGGCCAACATGGTGAAACTCCGACTTTACTAACAATACAAAAAATTAGCTGGAAGTGGTGATGTGTACCTGTAATCCCACCTGCTCTGGAGGCAGAGGCAGGGGAATTGCTTGAAACCAGGAGGCGGAGGTTGCAGTGAGCCGAGGTTGTATCACTGCACTCCAGCTTGGGCGACAGAGTGAGATTCTGTCTCACAAAAAAAAAAAAAAAAGATTATTAGCAGAAGTCCCATTTATAATAGTTATTGTATAATTATTTCACATTTCTTTGTAATCAAATTAAAAAGAGATCTTTTAAAGTATAATTAGGGATAGGATAGCTCTAAGGTTTAAATCTTATATCAATTTTAAAAATATGACCAAGTTAGTCAAGGAAGATAATCAAATTAGATACTTAGTGTCATAAAAGCAAAATAAAATGCAAATTGGAAAAGACTAGCTTGACATTTATTCGGCATTTCAAGTTGGCACTCATGCCTCCTTGACAAGCACAGAGTTTCATTAATGGGTAAGGTAGCAAGTCATGAACAACTTTAGCCAAATCAGGGAATTAAATAATTCACCTTCATCACTAAGATGAAAGGACAGAATCTCCTGTAACAATGGGAAAAAATAAATTAGAAAACAGATATTTAAGCCCTCTTTTAATTTTTAACCATACAACTGTATATAAGATTTCAAGTTCATCATTCTATGCACTAATGTTTAAATTTTCAGTTTTCTTTTAGTAAAGAATTAGCTTTAGCAAACAAATTTTGCTGGCTGTATTTAACACAGAAAATACAACTATGCAATGCTAAGACGTACAGCTTTATATTCAATGCCACATTTTACTTTCAGAATCTCTAAAGATATATTTACTACATTTAGTACTATGAGAAGACATAGTTCTCCAATGAGGCGAGGCAGTTGGCCCTATAGTTTTGACTTCTGGTAGGAGCACAGTGGACAAGTACAAAAAATTTTCAGTAGCACTGGCAGGAAGTGTGAACCTGTTCTCACCGTGCTGCTTCTCAGCAGTCATTTCTATTCGCAGCCATGATAATGTCAACCGCTGTACATTTACCATCAAGAAAGTCCCTAAAGAGGAAAGTGACCTCTACCGTGGATACGAAACAGAATTCTTTCACAGGTGAATGTTTACAATTATTTTACTAGGCTTGGGTCTCAGTCTAAGAGAGTTTAATTTATAAATTCTTTCATTTTACCTGTTTATTATATTTCACTAATTATTTCATGTATTTCTGAAAACAACATCAGGGATCCCATTTTTCCTTCAATCAGCTTGAGGTGATTTTAATCAACAGGTGACACACACAGAATGAATGCACATGCCACTAAAACATCATCACAGCAAAACAACACAAGCCAGAAAGCAACAGGCCACGGACCCCATCACCCAACGTCTATTACACCTTCAGTGACTCCCATTTTTGTTCCATGCGCTGCTTTTCATACTGCATCTGACCCACCTTGATTTTCATGCTAGAAAGTTTGGCCATTAAAGACTGGTAGAGAGACAGAGGAGTGAAAGAAAACTACAGATAGAAAAAGACATACTAAATAACCCAGAAAATAGTACCAGTTTATAAAGGAGGTTAGATACAACTCAGAGAAAGGGGAGGTTATGTTCTGTTGGAAGAGTTAAGCCTTGTTTTTAAATTCGGATCAGTGGTGTTTAAATTCAAGAAGGTTTCAGCTTGGGGGGAACTTCATTTACTTTTATCATACCTTCTTTATCATATACTAAGTAGAAAACATGTTATTTATATTATTGGTCATAGATGAACAGTGGAGCCATTTGAAAATGTTAACCCGTGAGAAAAACTTACTTTGGTTGATTTAAGCTTTTTTTCATACTGAAGTCTCTCACTGTCCATTTCACTGACTTTTAACCTCAAATCATCGATCTCCTGAATCAGTCCCTGTCCAAGAAGAAACAAGAAAGTGCATTAGGAAAGTGGTAACACAGTTACCTATACCTACAAAATAGCAGCTTGGACATCATAAGAAGTCACCAGCTGCTAGAGTTAAAGTTGAATAAATCAGATGAGACAAATAGAAATAAATCTACCTCCTTAATAAACAAAGCATTGGCTGGGAGCAGTGCCTCACGCCTGTAATCCCAGCACTTTGGGAGGCCAAGATAGGTGAATCACAAGGTCAGGAGATCAAGACCATCCTGGCCAACACGGTGAAACCCGTCTCTACTAAAATACAAAAAATTGGCCGGGTGTGGTGGCGCACGCCCATAGTCCCAGTTACTCAGGAGGCTAAAGCAGGAGAATCACTTGAACCCGGGAGGCAGAGGTTGCAGTGAGCTGAGATTGCGCTCTGTCAAAAACAAACAAACAAACAAAACCATTCCTTTAAATCCCCAATGCCTCTGCCCTAAAGTGATGGGTTTATGAAAATAAAAGGTGACTATAAGTTTGATTAAGAAATGTAGCTTAATATCTATTATTTGTCAGATATTTCTATCTTAAAAATGACTCTATGAATGCTATTTCATAGAGTGCTATTTCTATTCTATTTTATAGAATGCTATTTTATATTTTAAATATATCACATTCTTTAGTAAAGCCATTTACCTTTTGAACCTTCTCAGTGATACACGGGTATTTTTTTTAATTTGTAATTTCTCCCTTTGTCCACAAAAATATGGATTGCTCATCAACCCAATATGGGAGAAAGAAATGAAAATTAAATCCTTTAAGCCCATGAATCCTTAAGATTCATGAAATAGCCAGGGAAATATTTTATTTTTATTAAGTGGATGATAACAGGAACATGAGAATAGTCCAATCAGTTTTAATTTTGCGGACTATTTTAATTATTGTCATATATAACATCACAAAGTTTCTCAACTATTCTCTAATCTCTGGGTATGTGCATACATTTTAGCAATAGTGTTGGATATTTATTAGAAGCTTATCAGGGATTGAGTTTACTGTAAGTTTGATGACAATTCTCAACTGGAAAGTGGATGAGGGCCCTGCTGTTCACCTAATTACGTAATTAGAAAATAAAAGAGAAAACAATCTTAATGTTTACATAACACAACACAATTTTACACCTTTTCTACTGCCACTTTTTATTTTATTTAGTGTCACTTTTTAAAGAACCAATTTGCTCATAAAACTTGTCCAGGTATTCTGATAAATCGTGGTGTATTTTTGTCCAGAGCCCAGAGAGTAGGAAAGGAAATTAGAGTGTTAAGCAATATTAACTCCTCCAAAAGAGACACTCAAATACCCTGCACGGGAGTTGACTTATTTTTACTAAAAGCCACAAAGATCCCTACAATGGTTACTATATTTCTGCTTCTCTCTCCTCTCTCTCTTTTTTTTTTTTTTTTTTTTTTTTTTTTTTTTATGATGGAGTCTTGCTCTGTCACCCAGGCTGGAGTGCAGTGCCGCCATCTCAGCTCACTGCAACCTCAGCCTCCCGGGTTCAAGACATTCTCCTGCCTCAGCCTCCACAGTAACTGGGATTACAGGTGCCTACCACCACACCCAGCTAGTTTTTGTATTTTTAGTAGAGACAAGGGTTTCACCATGTTGACCAAGCTGGTCTTTAACTCCTGACCTCAAGTGATCCATCCTCCTTGGACTCCCAAAGTGTTGGGATTACAGGCGTTATCCACTGTGCCTGGCCAGCTTCTCTCTTTTTACAAAGACATGCATGTATTCCTGGGTCACAAATTCATAGACTACAGGACAAAATTGTCCAAGAATGCCAAAAATTACAAGTAGAACAATGCTATAAGGAAATAAAACTTTGTGAATAGGGATTATTTTAAACTCCCAAGTATAAAGATTCAAGTTCACAAAGGCTAAGAGAAGGGATGCTGTAATGAAATACACTTCCCAATAAACCTATAGGCTTTTAAATTGTGGTCTCTTATAAAATGGGCAAAATATTACCTATCATAATTATACAATTATTCCTTAGGAGTCACTTAATAATCATACAATATTTCAATTAGATGATATATATTTTCTTCTTATGAATTAGGTCAAGAGCTGTTGGACATTATTCAATAACATATTTGTGATTCGTCATCTAACAGGTCGGAATTCAAGTTCAAAGAAAAAAATCACCTTTTCCCGGTTAACCATCATCCTTGCATAATATGAGTCCTTAGTGATATTCATCAATACGATCCCTCAAAAAGGCTCTGCGATTTTGTGATTATATAATGTAAGTATGTTTTCTATACAGATTTTTAAAATCCAATTATATAGTAAATAATCAGTGTGCCTAAAGAATAACTACTAGTAAAATCATGCATTTAAGCCCATTATTTACAAAATTAGGAAAACTAGTATGAATGGACAGATGCTCCAAATATCCTAAAGTCAAAAGTATTTCTAAAGGTTGATAAAAGGATTAATATTTCATATCAAAAGTCTAAAACTAAAAATTGTCATTAGCATTTTGTGATAAAAAGTCAATGTAATCAAAGATTATCCTTAAAATGAAGCAGGATGAGGGCACGTAGTAATTAACTGCCTTCCTTGCACACCTCCAGAGAATTTCAACTTTGCTCTAGGAATGCATGTGTATGAGAGACAGAGACAGAGTGACAGAGAGAGAGAGAGGAGAGACTGTATCACTCACCTCTGTGTCTCTGAACTTATCTTCATAATCCAATCTGTCCTTCTCTACAGCTGTCAGTTTCAACTTCAAGTTAGATATTTCAGCCATCAGATCCAACTTCCGAGTTTCTGAGAATGTCCTACTTAGAAGCTCCTATTGGAATTTAAAAGATACATTCAATAATTCTTTTTTTTTTTTTTTTTGAGACGGAGTCTCACTCTGTCGCCCAGGCTGGAGTGCAGTGGCCGGATCTCGGCTCACTGCAAGCTCCACCTCTTCTCCTGCCTCAGCCTCCCGAGTAGCTGGGACTACAGGCACCCACCACCTTGCCCAGCTAGTTTTTTGTATTTCTTAGTAGAGACAGGGTTTCACCGTGTTAGCCAGGATGGTCTCGATCTCCTGACCTCGTGATCTGCCCGTCTCGGCCTCCCAAAGTGCTGGGATTACAGGCTTGAGCCACCGCGCCCGGCCAATAATTCTTTTATTATAAACAGCCACATGTGAATTTACCTCATTTATGATTGTAAAGCAGCACCTATTAAGTAGAGGATGTAGTAAAGTATAATTACTGAATATACACACTTTTTAAAAATTATTCACTTTAGGCTGGGCGCTGTGGCTCACGCCTATAATCCCAGCACTTTGGGAGGCTGAGGGGGGTGGATCATTTGTGGTCAGGAGTTCGAGACAAGCCTGGACAGTATGGTGAAACCTCATTTCTACTAAAAATACAAAAATTAGCTAGTGTAGTGGCAGGGGGCCTGTAGTCCCAGCTACTTGAGAGGCTGAGGCAGGAGAATTGCTTGAACCCAGGAGGCAGAGATTACAGTGAGCCAAGATCACGCCACCGCACTCCAGCCTGGGCAACGAGACTCCATCTCAAAAATAAGATAAAATAAAATAAAAAATCATTCACTTTCATTACCCTCCTTTGAGCAGAAATAAACACATGTCAGTTTTCTGAGGGAGACATGTTACGTAGATACACATGCATAAACCATATATATACTTAAGTCTGATGATAACATTGATGATGATGATAATGATACTAGGTTTGTTATATGCCAGGCAACCATTATGACATATACTGTTTCAGTCCTCACAAAAATCTTATCAGGTAGAAATTCTTATTATCCTTAATCAAAAGATGAGGAAACTTAGTAATAGAGAGGTTAGGAACTTGCCTAATGTCATAGAGTGGGGAGAAAAAAGGAGGCACAGCAGGAGTGGAAACCTACGAGGTTTCGCTCCAGTGCATACTCCATCCACAACCTTACAGAGCCTGTCCTATGTGTTATAGATGGTGCTTATCTTTTTTCTTTTTTCTTTTTCTAATTTTTAATTTTGTGAGTACATAGTAGGTATATATATTTGTGGGGTACATGAGATGTTTTGATACAGGTATACAATGTGTAATAATCACATCATGGAAAATGGGGTCCCCATCTTCTCAAGCATTTATCCTTTGTGTTACAAACAATCCAGTTATACTCTTATTTTCAAATGTACAGTTAGATTATTATTGACTATAGTCACCCTGACGTACTACTAAATACTAGGCCTTATTCAAACTATCATTTTCTACCCCTTCAGCATCCTTCACCTCTTCCTTCATCCCCCACTACCATACCCAGCCTCTGGTAACCATCCTTCTACTCTATTTCCATGAGTTCAATTGTTTTATTTTTCGATCCCACAAATGAAAACATGAGGTGTTTGTTTTTCTGTGCTTGGCTTATTTTACACATAACAACATCTAGTTCCATTCATGTTGTTGCAAATGACTGAATCTCATTCTTTTTTACGGGTGAATCATACTCCATTGTGTATAAGTACCACATTTTCTCTATTGAGTCATTTGTTGATGGACATTTAGGTTGCTTCCAAATCTTGGTGGCTGTGAACAGAGCTACAGTGAACACAAGAACACAGATACTTCTTTGATATACTGATTTCCTTTCCTTCGGGTATATATACAGCAGTGGCATTGCTGGATCATATGGTAGCTCGATTTTTAGTTTTTTGAGGAACCTCCAAACTGTATTCTCCAAAGTAGTTGTACGAATTTACATTCCCACCAACAGTGTACAAGGATTCCCTTTTCTCCACATCCTTGCCAGCATTTGTTACTGCCTGTCTTTTGGATAAAAGCCCTTTTAGCTGGGGTGAGATAGTATCTCATTGCAGTTTTGATTTGCATTTCTCTGATGATCAATGATCTTAAGCACCTTTTCATATATCTATTTGCCATTTGTATGTCTTCTTTTGAGAAACGTCTATTCAAATCTTCACCCACTTTTAAATTGGATTCTTAGATTTTTTACTATTATTCTTTTTTCTTAATCATAAAACATATGCTTATAGGCGAGAGTTAGGAAACCATCTGAATGCAAAGAAAGAAAATTAAAATAAGCCACAATCCTATTGACATTTTGTTGCAGATTCTAATTACATAAACACTTTATATTGTGTGCATGTGTTTTGAGACTCTGTTACTCTCAATTTTTTTTTTTTTAAATGTGCTGGTCTAAGTGAATCAAGAAACTTACTGCTGCATCAGAGCAAACACAACATAGAAATGTAGCATCTCAAATAGTTCAGCAGGGAAATGCTATTTTGGTTTTGGCCTCTGCACACACCTGCTGCAGTATTTCTTTTGTGGCATTCAGCTTCTCTCTGTGCTCTTCAAGACAAAACTCCAAATCTCTAATCTTCTCTCCCTCATCCTCCACCTGGCCTGTTAACACACTTAGCTGTATTTAGAATAAAATACTGCGATGAGTGAAAAAGAATTTGGGTCCAACTGCATACGTTATTTCTCTAAATGGAACAAAAAAGGAATGATCCTACCACTCATACGATCGTAAAGAAAAAAAAATCTGAGAAGTACCAAGAAGACAGTGGTCCCTCGCATTCCTATTTATATATTGCTTTTTGATTTAAGGAGCCCTGTACAATTTCAGAGAAAATTTGTGTAGATTAGTAATGTACACTATTTTTTGGTTAAAGCCACTTCAACCATTTATGAGAGAGAGTGTGCACATCTTTTTTTGCGGGCAGGGCAGAGATAGGATTAGAAGAGAGGAAATGAAGTTAATGTTTCAAATAGAAATTATCAAGAGCTATTCAAATTCGATACTTCAAGAAGAATAAGGAAAAGAACCCAGGGAATTCAAGTTCCATGAGCTCTTTGAAGATGACACAGTTCATAGATGTGTTCAAAGCCAGGGGGCAACTCAGTATACTCAAAGGTCCATGAGGAGCTGTGGGGCCAGTCCTTCAACTCTAATGCTTAGAGCCGATCTCTGAGATTTTCCTCAATAATCATCACCCAGTAAATATACCTCAATTCATTTTGCTCAGTATACCAAAGAAAAACATACTTCAGTTCATTTTGCTCAATATACCAAAGAAAAATGTTTGTCAAGCATTTAAAACATTATGAAGAAACAAACTCAAATTTAGCCCACAAGGAGGATTCTAGTCACTGTTGTGTTTTGTCTCACACAGGGTATCATTTTTTTTTTTTCTTGAGACGGAGTCTCGCTCTGTCACCCAGGCTGCACACAGGGTATCATTTTTAAAATTGAAAAATTAAATATATTTATTCAGATTTCAGATTCAGAAATATAAATTTACATATATGCAGATTTTATGCTATATTCATATATCCAAATTTCTGATACATATTAAAATATATTTTAAAGTCAGATCCAGCCAAGTGTAGTGCTGCACACCTGTAATCCCAGCTACTTAGGAGACTGAGGTAGGAAGATTGCTTGAGCCTAGGAGTTCAAGACTAGCCTGGGCAATGTAAGAAGACCCTGCCTCCAAAAAAAAAAATCGATCAGATCAGATGACAGATAAAATCAGACGACATTGCACCTGTATTCAGACTGGCCCCAGAAGAGCTGAGGTTAATGGCAGCTCCTTCTAAACTGGGTGTACAAACCATTATTTTGCCCCAGTCCACTACTCCCTATTGTATACAGATGGCTTACCGTGCTTATTTCTATTAGCAGTCTGGTTGCTAATAGAACTGGTTTCTATTAGCAGTCAGGTTGCAAGCAATCTGAATTTGCCACCCCAATTTAAAACCGTCTTTGTAAGTATGCTGCAAGGAAAGAACAATATTTAAAAATCACTTGCCTGAAGAATGAGGGATACTTTATCATTTTCTAAACGTGCCAACCTTTCTTGCTATACATCTCCGTTCCCAGGTAGGTGTCCATTTGTCTGAAAAAGGAAATAATATAGGTAAGGCTGATCTTCTCTAAGAATGATATATTGTAGATACATGAAAATCACAAGTGTTCTTAGTCCAAGGGGCCTGAATTGAATCTGGCACAGCTGTCACTGTCAAACAGAAAATACGAGAATGCAATTTGGTTCATTTACCACAAAAGAGGTAAGAGAGGCATGTTAAGCTTATAAGCATGTTTTTGCCAAACTAAACATTTCTTAACAAGCAAAAAATAATGACCCACAAGGCACAGTGGATACTGGTATCTCCACTGAGAGCAGACACACACCCAGGGGCAGGCAAAGCTTTGTGAGTGTGTAGGGGGCACCCCTAGCTGTTGAGGTCTGTCTCTCTTCCTCCAAAAGCGTAAACACTCAGGCCACAGTGACTTCCCCTGGTAGCTCCTACTAGCCTCACTTATCTGCATTTTAACACTTTCTGTTCTGACCTTATTAACTTCTTATGAGTTTGCTTGTTCATATAATGTTACCTTCTATTCCAGGGCAGAGCCTATAAATTGTTTTGTAACCTCCCCAGCATCTGGCTCAGTGCTCTGCGTATATTGATGCTTACTTACTATTTCTTCCCCTCCCTCATGCCCCACACGCTTTTTTAAAAAAAAATCATATTTGGGCATATTTATGCATGGTATAAATGCCAAAGGAAGTATAGACTAAGAAACGACATATAGATTGTTTATTCCTCAGCTGTCTCATATGCAAGTCATGAAAGACACACGAAGAGGCTCACAAAGAACAGAAAACCTAAAAACATCATTTTGAAATATATGCAGTAGTGTGGGCAGTAACTCTCATAATCTCAGCATAACCATAAAATATGTAATCCCAATAGAATTTCCTCATTCTTCATTGAAATACAATAGAAATAAAAGCCAGTTGAAATTCAAAAGTGTTAGATGGGGCCACCCAGGGTTCAATTGAAAAAGAAAATAATACCTTCAAATTTAGAACCAGAAAAAACAGACATCTGTTTTTAAAATCCCATACAAGTAATAATATTTTAGAAACAGATACATTTAACTAAGTAGGGGAAAAAAAAAAAAAAAAAACAACTGCTGTTTAGTGAGTACAAAAAGCAAAACTGGCCAAGTGTGGTGGTGCATGCCTGTAATTCCAGCACTTTGGGAGGCTGAGGATTGGTTTGACCAGAAGTTTGAGACCAGCGTAGGCAACATGGTGAGACCCCATCTCTAAAATAAAAACATAAACAAATAAATAAATAAATAAAACAGCCAAGCATGTGCAGTGAGCTGAGATCACACCACTGCACTCCAGCCTGGGTGATGGAGTGAGACTCTGTCTAAGAAAAAAAACAAAAAACCACCAAGCATGACACCATGTGGTGTGCCTGTGGTCCTGGTTACTCTGGAAACTAAGGAAGGAGGATCACTTGAGCCCGGGAGGTGGAGGCTACAGTGAGCCGTGTTTGCACCACTGCACTCCACTTTGGGCAACAAAGCGAGACCCTGTCTTAAGAAAAACATAACAAAAATGATCTTTCTTCTGGTTGGAGGAAATTATAGCAAGAAGAGAGCACGGTTTCCTCCCAAGCTACTTTGTATGATATGGAAGTGAGGTGCTCCAAAACCAGTTCTCCAAAATGAGCCCCAAATAGAAACAGATACTGAAAATTGACTCAAAATGAGATATTTATGTTTCTCAATACTGTACTGATATTTACAAGCACTCATAATGCTCAAGGGTAGTTTAGTATATTAAAACTCACTATAGGAACATAAAGCGGAATTTAAGAGCGATCAATGTTACATCCTTGTGTTAAGTAGGTAAAGACTGTTCTGTCCACATGTGTTTATATTTCTGCCAATTTTGTTTCCTTTGAATTAAGAATATTGGCAGTAAGATCCATTAGGTAAATACCCTATTGTCTCTATTATTCCTCCAACTCCCATATGCTTCTACCTACCAGGTCACTCAAAACCTCCCCATATATGGCATGCTCTCTCACACACTTTTACTCCTTCTGCACGGACCGTCTTTTCCCACCCTTTCTTCTTCTTTCCCCATTCCTTAAGGTCCACCTCTATTAGGGCTTGGTCTGTGAAGTCTTCCTTGAATTCACTGTTTACTATGTGCCAGCAACAGTATCTAGATGAACCTTCATTACAGCAGGCGTTACTCTGAATGCACTAAGGTTAGACTTGTGCATACATGTCTCTCTCTTCTAATAGACTCTGCATTCTTTGCAAGTAGATTTGCCTTGGCATGGGACACACAGTGGGTGATAACTAAATGTCTGTGGAATGGAAGAATGACGACAGGTGTTCAATAAACACGGTTGAATAAAAGATGACTGCAGGTTTGGTTTTGATCTGGCCTTCTTGCTTCTCAGTGGGTCTTTCTTTATGTGTGCTCTATAATCTGGTATGCACTCCATGGTTGACCTCTATCTAGACTGGCTCCTTTCTCCCCAAGCCTGTACTCTCTCTTCCCACTATGTTTAGGAGGTGATCTCAGAGCCTTTGTAATGGACAATAGTTAAGGCCATCTTGTGTGAGCTCCCCTAGACACTTTCTTCTTCAGTGTGTAATAGTATAAAATATATTACCTCTTATTTCTTTCCTTTCTTTCTTCCTGCAGGCTTGGGAGAACTGATTCTTAACTCCTTCCTGAAAGCTCATCATTCCACTTCTAGTTTGGAACCTTGATTTCCTGTTTCACTGGGACCTGTAATCACCACTTCTACTTATCATTTTCCATTTCTTCCTTTTAATGAGCTTTCTTCCATTTTCCTTTACAACAACTATCCCAAGGTTTTGTACCCAACACTCTACTCACCTCCCACTCCTCCCTCTCAGGTCAATCCAACTTTCATAACCCATTTCTACCTCCTCCTCATTACATTGTGCCATTCTCCTTTCCCCATCTACTGGCTGACTTGGGTCTTGTCTTAAACTGTGCTCTTTAGTGTTTCATCCTATTCTGCCTCAGGTGGATGACTAATAATTTTATGTGAGTTGGTCACTCAGCCTAAGTTTCTCAGTGCAAAACTGTCTTACATTTCTTTTGATTCTTCCATTCTTCCAGTCATGGGGTGCTTATAAAATCCTGAGCACCTAATTTAAAATGTATTTAAGTATAAACTCCTGTTGAGTCAATCTGACTTTCAAAGCACGGAAGAGCAGCCTAAATCACTTTACCTTTCTACTTTAGCTCATGGTGCAACCTTTTACTGACCACATCCAATTCAGCTAAGTTGAAACTGGAATCAACGTGGGGATTTCAGCAGTACAATATCCAGCCAATAGTGTGTGTGGAGGTCTGCTGTTACTACAGCCTGCATTTGAAACTGCCTAGATGCAGTCCTGCCTTATCATTAACTGCTTCCTTTTTTTAAACTTCACAATCTCTTTTATTGTTATTTGGGCAGTTTTCCCATACTCAAATATGAAGGGGGAATTTGCTAGGATTCTGTGTTCCTTAAATTCTAGGATGCCATCAATTTTAATTTTGTATTGTGGTAAAATATATATGTAAAATTTACCATTTTAACCCTTCTAAAGCGTATAGTTCAGTGGTAGTAAGTACATTTACATTGTTTTGCAGCCATCACCATCATCCATCTAAATAAACTCTTTTCATCTTGCAAAACTGAAATTCTATGTGCAATAAGTATTATCTTCCCATTCCCTGCTCCCCTCAGCTCCTGGCAGTCACTAATGTACTTTCTGTCTCTAAAATGGACTAGTCTAAGTATCTCAATTAAAAAAAAAAAAAAGGAAAGAAGGGAGAGAGAAAGGGAGGATGGATCTGAGCTAAAATGTATACATATCCCCATTTTAAGATCATAAAACACATCCCAACTTTTGAAATATTAAATTGGAAAAATCTAATATTATCAGCCAATCACTAATTATAAGCATATAATCTTCTACTTGTTGGATTCCCAATGCGGCCCAAGTTGCTTTTTGGTTCTGAAATACAGTCTAACATGGTAGGTGTGTGGTGACAACTCAATTTCACTGCTATGCTTTTATGGTTCCAAACAGCCAGTCCTGCTCTTTTTGCCTTTTGCTGTCTTTCTTCTTTCATCCTGTCATTCTCTGTGTGCTCGAGAAAACACACGTAATTTGAAAGGTTGGGGTCAAGGTGAGGAATTCTTATAAAAAAGTTAGATGGATATAAATAAATTTAGCAACAGCAACAAAAGTCTCTTATCTCTCTGGATCCACATCTAGTTTATTTTGTTATTGTTACTTTTAGGATAAAAACTGAATCTTCATTAGTTCTGTAAAATATTTGTCATTTTATGGATTCTTACGGTTAAAATGTCAAATAATAAGATAGAACGCAACTAAAAACATTGGTCAACAAGACATTACCCATCCAAGGAATAAATTTAAAACAACTTCCATTCATTTAAACGTGTATTCCACTTTATCATCCATGGAGCATCATTCATTACAAATATAACTACTGAGCCAGGCATTCTTCTAAGCACTAGAGATACAGGAACTTTTTAAAACTAAGGGCAAAAATCAGATTCATGATGGTTACATTCCAGTTGAAAAGACGGAAAATAAATGATATAAACATTACAAATACATTGTACATAAGAAAGTGGTGAATGCTAAGAACAAAATAAAGCAGGGAGAGGTAAGACAAAGAATAAATGGGTATAATTTTAGTTAGGGTGGTGATGCACGGCCTCACTGAGAGCAGGACTTTTGAGTAAATACCAAAAGAATATGAGGGAGCTAGCCATACAAACATCTGGGGAAAGAGCTTTCCAGGCAGAGTGAAAAGCCAGTGCCTGGAAAAGCCAGTACAAAGGCTCAGAGGCCAGTGTACGTGGCATGTTTAAGAATCAGTGAAATAACCAATGTGCTTGGCGTGGAGTGAATAAGGAGATGTGTGATGAGAGATGAGGTCAGAAAGTCATGGGGAGCAAATCCTACGAGGCCTTGCAGCCCACAGTAAGCACTGTGGTTTTTACTCTGAGTAAGATGTGATGCCATTGGCAGTTTCTGAAAAAAGGAGTGAGTGTCATGATCTAACTTATATTCAGATGTAATCATCATTACTTTTTATCATTTCTCGACATACTTTCACAGAACAAATTAAGCACATGTTAATGGAAATGTTTTAGACACATATCAAAAATTGAACTACAGGTATGCTTAGGCTACTATTGCCATTGGTGGCCTCTGGGTGTGGGATAGAAATAGGTTCTACTAACAATAGTAAATTCCTTTTTTCACTGCATGCTAAATGGTCAGAAGAACATGGAGTAAAGAAAGGGTGAGATAGGACATTGAAATAGACTAAGGAATATGCCAGGAAACACCAATTTCAGAGCATGAAGCAATCCCCAAAGAAATCAGCAAACCCGGACCTTTAAATCTCTGGAGGAGAAATTTGCAGAGGAAATACAAAGTATAATAGTAAGGCATTATGTATTTTAACAAGTAAAATATCTCCAATGGTCAAGTGTGTGTAGCTGCACACCCGCTAAAGGATGGATTCTACTATTTGCACTCAGAAACGCAGAGGTAAACCAGGTGGGAACACACAGTATTCAGCACAGGACTGGCTGGGAGCTCTAGTATTTGTGTCACATCCTATGAAAACGTTTTAACTGTAGGATGTACTCTTAAAGTTCCCAAAGCAAGCAGTTTTCATGTCTACCACAGATCCAAAAGTAGATCAGGATTCTTTCATACAATTCTCATTAGTTTTTATATCAACACAGTTAGCTCATTGGCACATTATTGCATCTTACTGAAAACTGAATATCCTTTAAACACAAAATATCTCCTTTCCTCTGTCCTCTACTGAATCTGCTTTTGTGACACTCTTTAGATTTTATGTGTTCATCACAGATTAAAACCATGGTATTTACTGCTGTACCCAGACAAAGGGTAGCTCTGCCACATCACCAATTTTTGAGAAGGATGCCTAGAAAGAGACCTCGTTGTTTAGTGGGTAACACTATTAACCCATTTATGCTGGAGGTTGCGAATTTTTCTGTGAAAAATTAGAACTTGGCAATGACCTTGAGCAGTAGGATATAAATAACTCCCACAAGCTTAGCGATCCAATAATGGAACACTATGTGTAAATGGGTTAAAGGCCCAAATCCACAATTTAATTTGAGAACTGGAACTGAAAAGATTGAAATAAACCACCAGGTGGCACTTCAGGTCAAACACTGCTGGAAACCACTGTGACTTTTTGAATGTCTTTCATTATGCTTTCCACTTAGCATTGCCATTGGGTCCTTTATAATGAATAACCCAGTGTAACTGAGAAATCATCTATGTGCAAGATTCTTTCCCTTATAGGACTATTTGATTTAAGCCACACTAGGTCACTCAAGCACAATCTAAAAGCCAGTCTGTTTTTATGGGCAGAATCAGGTGCCCTGTTGTTGGTATTTATAAAATGTACACTAATAGCACTTTTAAAAAAGTTATCCTTAGAGTCAAAAGAAAGTTAAGATATCTTAAGGAATACAATAGAGCACATCTGCTGCCCTATACTTTTTTTTTGTTCTAATCAGCTACTCTATGTTCTAAATTTTGGAATAAGCAACAAAAGATTCATAATACAGAATTTACAACAGGCAGACACCTACCATTTGACTCTGAAGCCATTCAATAAGCATTTCTGCTGTTAAATCTGGGATCTGTCATCTCAAGCCTTCTTTCTCATCTGTTTCCATCATCTCTAACAATCCACGCAGGTCTTCCACAAGGTGCAGAGCTCGCAAACTTCCCATGAATGGAGAGGTGGGAGATTGGCAATCAAAAATCCCATTGGAATATTCCAGGGCCTTAGAACCTAAGTTAAACAAAATCACAGAGAGAGCAATGGGATTTATGTTAGATAAAAATATCAAAGCCAAAGGTGGTAAACCAGTCTAGTCACAGTAAGGAACAATCAAAAGAAACAGAAAAAAGAGAATTCAATCACATAAATCTCTCCAAGTCAGATTTACATGGTGCAAGAATTAAAACCATGTAGTTGATGGTAAATATCCATGGTGCAATTCCTAACAAGGAGGCCAATCAAGGGGTATAGAAAGAAAAAGAGCCTGGTGGGCTTTGGTGTGAGGTGTGCTGGCATCGTGGAGATCATGGATAAAAAAGTGGAAGATCAGAAAATACAAATATTAGAACTGGTTCATTCTGGACCAATACTGGACCAAATGATTTCTGGCTTAGAAAAACTGTGGATGAAGGGTTATGAAATGAACCCAGATAAAGGTTATTAGAGTAAATTCCAAGGAAAGATAATGAGTTCAATGTGTTAAATTATTATGCTGACGTGCCTATAGGACTTTTCCAGAGAGATATCTGGTTGGAAATTAGAGATAGGGACTGGAAGCTTAGCAAAGAATTGGGAAGGTAAATAGATGTGAACAAGCTGGGTGCAGTGACGCATGCCTGTGATCGCAGGTACTTGAGGTGGGAAGATTGCTTGAGCCCAGCATTTCAAGGTTGCACTATGCATGTTATTCACAGGCAATCGTGCCTGTAAATAGCCACTGCACTCCAGCTTGAGCAACAGAGCAAGACCTCCTCTCTTAAAAAAAAATAGATATGAGAGTCATTGGTAGAAAGTGAATTTTGAATTCAGGGAAACAGATCAGAACATTCATGGTTACTGGATAGAGCAGTGTCTCTCAAAGTATGGTCCACAGACCACCTACACCAGAACCACCTGAGATGCAGATTCTTTATCCTTGATTAGAAACCTCGGATGGAACTTGAATTTTTGATATTTTAAAATAATGTTTGAGAATAATGCTGGCAGAAAATGGAGAAGAGGAACAAAAACGAAATTACAGGGAAGCAAAAGACATAGGGCTAAAAAATGAAAATCAAGTAAAAAGATAATATGAAAGTTGTAGTGAAAAAGTGAAGTGAGCAGAGTAAATGTTGTGATTCTGTCTTTCACAGGATGCAGATCACCTGCTATGATACCATCCATCTGCTCCAATGCTGCAGCCAACATATCGCTTGCATCACTCCTCATTTTCTTATTTGTCAGGGGCAAATTCCAACCTAGATCTGGAAAAAAAATGATGCTATTATTACATCCATTAAATGACATAGGCTTGCTAGTAGGTTTCCTAATTCTCCTTCAAATGATAACTCTGTTGTGTAGTCAAACATGGAGCAAAAACTTCAGTAGTGGAGTAGTAAGCTGTGGCTAATCACCTACTTAGTGCAAGGCCACATGTGATACCTGTATCAGTTAATAAAGAAGATTCCATTCTTGCACTTGAGGTTTTTAAAATCCATTAACATGGTTTCCATGCTGTTCTCTAGAACTCTAGGCCTCTGTAAAGGGCAACAGGGATGGCCATGGAAGCTTGCTGAGGGCCATGACATGCACTGGCCAGACAAGACTCCTTTCTCCCTTTACCAGCCCCACCCAATCTCTGTTTTTTTTTTTTCTTTCTGTATAAGGGCTTAAGATTTGGCTAAGAAAAGGATTCACTAACACATATACTACACGTATGTATACACACACACAAACACACACATACACCCCGACTGATATTAGACCTTTTGTAATGCAGCCATAGTTATCACATACTAAGTGTCTATAGTGGTTCCTACACATTTACATAAATTATCCATAATCCTTAGTCAACAGCTCTATAAAATGTGTAAATTCATCTCCACTTTATAAATGGGGATCAAAGACATTTGATTTTTGCATGGAAACACAGCAAAGTAAATATAGTCAAGTTCAGTTTCTAACCTAGGTCTGATTTCCACTATAATATATAATTTCTGTTTACCTGATCCTATTTGAATATTAACTGATGCTGAAATTGTGTCACAATCTACTCATTGGTTTACCAGTTAAAAATTATATTGAGATAATGCTTGCAAAAAATTTGGTCATTGACAGAAAAAAGTCAAGATAATGTGATTTTCAACATTCACTAACACATTTCAGGTACCAGACTAAGCACCCAAATAAAGCTCTTACTATGTTATATATACTGTGATAGAACAAATACCTGGGAAATAAAGGGCATATTCTGTTTCACAGAAACCTTTGCCCTCTGTTTCCAAGCAGCCAAATCTCACCACTTTATTTTCACAAATATATGTATAGTTTTGGCATAAGCTTCTTGGATTAGTTCCCAATTGTGCATTCATTCTAACATAATGCCATATAATTGTTGTAAAATATTATTTTGATTTAAAATCATTTCACCTAAGGATTTTCTAGAACTTTACTCACTTCCAAAGGTGAAAAATATCATGACCATTTATTGTGGAAATACTACAGCATGAAAACCCTCAAGGTATGTATCTACAGTTACTCAGAAAACAAGGAATCAATAAGTTAGTTTATGAACCTAGGTCATTCTAAAAACTTTACTCACACACTCAGCCAGTGCACCATCCAAAGAAATAGGACACACATTTAATAACCACACTCCAGTATGGGAAACTCAAAACATGAAAACTGAGAGCATAAGGGATTAAGCTGAATTACATAATTAAGTCACTTGCATTCTCTTTCATTTAAAAAGTATTTTGTAGCTCCATTCCAAGATGGTCGAATACAAACAGCTCTGGTCTACAGCTCCCAGCATGATCGATGCAGAAGAGGGGTGATTTCTGCATTTCCAACTGAAGTACCTGGTTCATCTCATTAGGACTGGTTGGACAGTGGGTGCAGCCCACGGAGGGTGAGCTGAAGCAGGATGGGGCGTCGTCTCACCCAGAAAGCACAAGGGGTTGGGGTATTTCCCTTTCCTAGCCAAGGGAAGCCGTGACAGACTGTACCTAGAAAAACGGGACACTCTTGCCCAAATACTGTGCTTTTCCCATGGTCTTAGCAACTGGCAGACCAGGAGATTCTCTCCCATGCCTGGATTGGTGGGTACCACACCCACAGAGCCTTGCTCACTGCTAGCAGCAGTCTGAGATTGACATGCAAGGCTGCAGCCTGACTGGGGGAAGGGTGTCCGCCATTGCTGAGGCTTGAGTAGGTAAACAAAGTGGCCAGGAAGTTCAAACTCAGTGGAGCCCACTGCAGCACAGCAAGGCCTACTGCCTGTATACACTCCACCTCTGGGGGCAGGGCATAGCTGAACAAAGGCAGCAGAAACTTCTGCAGACTTAAACTTCCCATCTGACAGCAATAAAGAGAGCAGGGGTTCTCCCAGCATGGCGATTGAGCTCTGAGAATGGACAGACTGCCTCCTCAAGTGGGTTGCTGACTCCTGTGTAGCCTAACTGGGAGAAACCTTCAAGCAGGGGCTGACAGACACCTCATACAGGTGGGTGCCCCTCTGGGATGAAGCTTCCAGAGGAAGGATCAGGCAGCAATATTTGCTGTTCTGCAATATTTGCTGTTGTGCAGCCTCTGCTGGTGATACCCAGGCAAACAAGGTCTGGAGTGGACCTCCAGCAAACTCCAACAGAACTGCAGCTGAGGGACATGACTCTTAGAAGGAAAACTAACAAACAAAAAGGAATAGCATCAACATCAACAAAAAGAACATCTAAACCAAACTCCATCTGTAGGTCACCAACATGAAAGACCAAAGGTAGATAAAACCACAAAGATGGGGAGAAACCAGGGCAGAAAAGCTGAAAATTCTAAAAACCAGATTGCCTTTTCTCCTCCAAAGGATCACAGTTCCTCACCAGCAACGGAACAAAGCGGGATGGAGAATGACTTTGACGAGTTGACAGAAATAGACTTCAGAAGGTTGGTAATAACATATTTCTCCGAGCTGAAGGAGCATGTTCTAACCCATTGCAAGGAAGCTAAAAACCTTGAAAAAAGATTAGATGAATGGCTAACTAGAAAAAACAGTGTAGGGAAGACCTTAAAAGATCTCATGGAGCTGAAAACCATGGCACAAGAACTTAGTGATACATGCACAAGCTTCAATGGTTGATTTGATCAAGTGGAAGAAAGGGTATCAGTGATTGAAGAACAAATTAATGAAATAAAGCGAGAAGACAAGTTTAAAGAAAAAAAGAGTAAAAAGAAATGAACAAAGCCTCCAAGAAATACGGAACTATGTGAAAAGACCAAATCTACATTTGAATGGTGTGCCTAAAAGTGACGGGGAGAATGGAACCAAGCTGGAAAACACTCTACAGGATATTATTCAGGAGAACTTCCCCAACATAGCAAGACAAGTCAACATTCAAGTTCAGGAAATACAGAGAACACCACAAAAATACTCCTCGAGAAGAGCAACTCCAAGACACATACTTGTCAGATTCACCAAAGTTGAAATGAAAGAAAAAATGTTAAGGGCAGCAAGAGAGAAAGGTCGGGTTACCCACAGTGGGAAGCCCATCAGACTAACAGCAGATCTCTCGGCAGAAACTCTACAAGTCAGAAGAGAGTGGGGGCCAATATTCAACATTCTTAAAGAAAAGAATTTTCAACCCAGAAATTCATATCCAGCCAAACTAAGCTTCATAAGTGAAGGAGAAATAAAATCCTTTACAAACAAGCAAATGCTGAGAGATTTTGTCACCACCAGGCCTGCCTTACAAGAGCTCCTGAAGGAAGCACTAAACATGGAAAGGAACAACCAGTACCAGCCACTGCAAAAGCATGCCAAATTGTAAAGACCATTGATGCTAGGGAGAAACTGCATCAACTAATGGGCAAAATAACCAGCTAACATCATAATGACAGGATCAAATTCACACATAACAATATTAACCATAAATGTAAATGGGCTAAATGCCCCAATTAAAAGACACAGACTGGCAAATTGGATGAAGAGTCAAGACCCATCAGTGCGTTGTATTCTGGAGACCCATCTCACGTGCACAGACACACATAGACTCAAAATAAAGGGATGGAGGAAGATCTACCAAGCAAACGGAAAACAAAAACAGGCAGGAGTTGCAATCCTAGTCTCTGATAAAACAGACTTTAAACCTACAAAGATCAAAAGAGACAAAGAAGGCAATTATGTAATGGTACAGGGAGTAACTCAACAAGAAGAGCTAACTATCCTAAATATATATGCACCCAACACAGGAGCACCCAGATTCATAAAGCAAGTTCTTAGAGACCTACAAAGAGACTTAGACTTCCACACAATAATAATGGAAGACTTTAACACCCTACTGTCTTTAATAGACAGATCAAGGAGACAGAAGGTTAACAAGGATGTCCAGGACTTGAACTCATCTCTGCACCAAGCAGACCTAATAGACATCTACAGAACTCTCCACCCCAAATCAACACAATATACATTATTCTGAGTACCACATTGCACATATTCTAAAATTAATCACATAATTTGAAGTAAAGTACTGCTCAGCAAATGTAAAAGAAAGAAATCACAAGAAACTGTCTCTCAGACCACAATGCAATCAAAATAGAACTCAGGATTAAGACTCTCACTCAAAACTGCACAACTACAAGGCAGCTGAACAACTGGCTCCTGAATGACTACTGGGTAAATAATGAAATGAAGGTAGAAATGAAGATGTTCTTTGAAACCAATGAGAACAAAGATACAACATACCAGAATCTCTGAGACACATTTAAAGCAGTGTGTAGAAGGAAATTTATAGCACTAAATGCCTACAAGAGAAAGCAGGAAAGATGTAAACTCGACACCCTACCATCACAATTAAAAGAAATAGAGAAGCAAGAGCAAATACATTCAAAAGCTAGGAGAAGGCAAGAAATAACTAAGATCAGAGCAGAACTGAAGGAGATAAAGACATAAAAACCCTTCAAAAAATCAGTCAGTCCAGGAGCTCCTTTTTTGAAAAGATCAACAAAACTGATAGACTGCTAGTAAAACTAATAAAAAAGAAAAGAGAGAAGAATGAAATAGATGCAATAAAAAATGATAAAGGGTATATCACCACTGATCCCACAGAAATACAAACTACCATCAAAGAATACTATAAACACCTTTACCCAAATAAACTAGAAAATCTAGAAGAAATAGACAAATTCCTGGACACGTTCACCCTCCCAAGACTAAACCAGGAAGAAGTTGAATCTCTGAATAGACCAATAACAGGCTCTGAAATTGAGGCAATAATTAAGAGCCTACCAACTAAAAAAGTCCAGGACCAGATGAATTCACAGCTGAATTCTACCAGAGGTACAAAGAAGAGCTGGTACCATGCCTTCTGAAACTATTCCAATCAACAGAAAAAGAGAGAGTCCTTCCTAATTCATTTTATGAGGCCAGCATCATCCTGATACCAAAGGCTGGAAGAAACACACACACAAAAAAGAGAATTTTAGACCAATATCTCTGATGAACATCAATGTGAAAATTCTCAATAAAATACTGGCAAAACGAATCCAGCAGCACATCAAAAAAGCTTATCCACCATGATCAAGTGGGCTTCATCCCAGGTATGCAAGACTGGTTCAACATATGCAAATCAATAAA